GTGTACCCGTCCTTCGAACGGGAATGAAGGCAAACTGAATGCATGAGACTAATTTTTTTAAAAAGTATTTCATATGATATGATATGATGCTGTCGAATGGAATAGATTAAGCCCTGATGTACAGTCTTCTATCAATTAAAGTATTTTCAAGAACTAAGTTTGTATTAATAATTAATTTAAAAAAAGTATAATAGTATAAACAGTTGTATAAATCACTAATTTAATGTTTTCTTGCTTTGTTTTATTAACATTTTAAATTTCTTATTCGTAATTTACAGTTTACTTTGTGGAGTGGATTTTCTTCATTTCCATAATTTATTTTGCCATTGGTGCTATAGATTATTTTTATTTTACTAAATTGTTGACATTTGCGTACTGTATAATAATTATGTTTTGTATCTGTATCACTTATTTCTGCATTTAACTTTTATTTATTATGTAACGTACTGTGTAATTTATGTTAATTTTTAATAAGGTATGTGACGACCATAATAAAAAACAGCATTATATTTGTTGATTTGTAGTTCGTGAATAGGTCAAAATGAAGTATTACTACTACTACATTGGTACTCTATTTGTCATTGTTGGTGTTCTGGTGGAACTTAATTCACAAAGCCAAAAGTTATTGTTTTTACTTCCAAACAAAAAGCATAGTAATTTCGCCCTGAGATGATTCGCCTAGGTTTGTCACGCTAGGACGACTTGGCCAAACCAGTTTGTTAGCAACGCCATAAACAGCTAGCTCTGCATAAATTATCAACAAAATCGCAACATGGCATCATGTGATCGATGTTTGACTTTTTGCATTGGTCTACTTTATGATGACGAAGTAACATTTCCGGAAATACCTTGAAACTTTTTTTGCAGACAGCGCGATTTTCGACTCCTGGATGGTGTTTCAGATGCCCCACCTGTCCCACTAGCTGGCTCGGCATTGATTATCAAGCATGTTTTGTGATTTTAATGCATGTGGTGGTTGTATCTATAGTACAAAGTTTTTCAAGGTTTCATACATAGAAAATAAAAAAGACAACATTCTAATTGAGTTTATCTTCGTTTTTCATTTGGCGTAGCATTATACATGTGTTATGCAATCAACCTATGGTCACATCATCAGTAAATATTTGTATTTATTCTGCATACAGTACTTTGAAAAAATCCAAAATAAAAAAAAATTATTAAAAAAAAACCGCGTTCCGCATTAGTTTTTTCACAACAAGGGTGCTTTGATACAAACAATTTAATTAATATGGCCTCATCACAATTATAGTAGTGCAATATTTCATGAGTGCCCGCATAGGAACCTTGGCCTTTGCAGAAGTCTGGACTGACAACACACTTCAGAAATTCAGCCATGAATCGCGACCCACTGCCCCCCCCCCCCCCCCCTTCCCAGATCCGCCAATGCGCTTTACCGCAAGGAGTGGGATAAATTATTAAAAGTTTCAAGTTAGCCGAATGTCTGCCATATGCCAGGTAATAGCTAGTAAGCCCATGATTGTGATAGCTATGCCATCTAAACATTGGGGTGGTGCACCCTTCCTTTCCATTCACAGTTTATAAGTGGCTTTCTTTCAGGATAACGATATCAGTAATATTTTTGTCAAGATAGCTTAATATGCAACAGTGCGTTGTGGGTCTTTCCAGTAGTTTTTGAATATCTTGCAGACATGATTGGTAGATTTGTTATTACTTTGGCAGTTTAACTATTGAGTTAGAGTAGATGGCATCATTATTACACATTTTTTCAGCTAAATTCTTGTTTGGATTTACATGTCCATATGCATATGAGTATTCACTGTTTGTAGGGATATTTTGATAATCATGTATAACCTGATCTTTATCTTCTTTACCACCCTCAGTTTTGTCTTCCTGGATTTGGTTATAGAATGTTTCTCCTTGATCTATTTCTGATGTATTCTGCTCAATATCCATAAGGTAATAAATATCTGGTGCAAAATGTTCGTCTTGAGACAATGGTACTTTGTGTTGGAGTACAACTTTAGGGTTTTGTTGAATGCATTGGTTAACTTGAGTAGGGACTGAGTGCTTGGCGTAGAAATGTGTGTGTGTACATTTGAAACAGACATTGCATGTGCCTTTGTAAGAGAGGATGACACTGGTTATTACCACCATTAGTAAACTAAGAAAAGTTACTGTTGTTACTATTACAAGTGTGCTAATTCCATTATTTTCATTTCCATTATTTTCATTTCGATTATTTTCATTGTGTTCCTCATCATCATTAGCACCAATTATTAATGATGCAGATCCTTCTACTTTGTTAGAAGATGTCACATGGCATATCAGTACTCTGTCAATCATTTCATCAGTGATGGTCAAGTTTAGGTCAGGATGTGAGATGTTGACCAGTAGATTGTTATTGTTGATTGTCCAGTTGTATTCACATTGTGGACAGTCATGTCCAGTCTTACACTGGAAAGCTGCAGACTGTCCAACTTGAAGATTATCAGATGTAAAGATTGTCACATCAATTCTGACTTTAATTGGTTCCAGATAACATTCATGATCTGTAGTTAGATGATCAGCTGTCATTGTACATCGAAATTTTTTTCCGTTATGTTCCTCCATAATTGTAAATGAGTTTGTAGCATTGGTATACGTAGCGTTTTTCAGTTCTTTACATTCTTCAGTTGAACGCATAGACCACACCAATTTTGGATTTAAATTCACATTTTTTACCATGCAGACAGAGGTAAATTTTTCACCTACATTGTAAATAGCAGTAGTTTTGTCGGAATAACAAAACTGTTTTGGAAGAACATTCAGGTAGGCAACACTGGATCCTTGAGAAGCCCGGCACTGGTACTTGCCACCATCAGATTGGATCACACCGACAAGATTTAATCTAAATTCAACATCGTCTCTTTCTTCTTTTGGCTCAGATACTTCTTTATGATTTTTGAGCCACTCAACCTGATTAATATTTGTGTCATCCACAATGCATTTGAATTGTGCATCATTTCCTTCAAGAACAGTCAAATTTATTGGCTTAATAGTAATCCATGAAGCATTTCCTATTATAATTGTAGTTGTGATGATGATGATCAGATAGAATGACATTGTTAGAAAGCCTCTTAAATTAAAAGTAAGATCAGATGTGAAAGTCTTGATTGAATTCTTTCTTCAATTCATGGTTACAGCAAGTGAAGGTAGTTTTTGTATACATGGTTCATGGTTAAAGTTGGACTCTCACGTGACTTAGAGACCTTTATAACATTCAGTGTGGGCGTACCATTTGAGGTGCATGGCAGCGAATCAGAAGATCGAATCCTGAGATTTAATCAACGTAGGTGAATTATTTAAATACCGGTATTAAACCACTAAAAATTGTTTCTAATTGAAATCCATGGCAGTTGGTTAGAAATCTTTGTTTTGTTTGTTTTATTCACTATAAACCTAGCCTGATTCTGTGGATTTGTTTGCTTGTAAAGTGGTAACCACTAGGTTCATGATTAAAATATCAAATTATTTTTTTGGGTTCTCCTTTGAAAAATACATGAACCTAAATTTTTGGACTTTGGGTTCATATTTTCAAATGTTTTTCAGCAAAAACAAAAATTAAAGTATTTCAGTAACATATAGAAAAGTTATAATGTGTAATGGACTGGTATGTTTGGTCATCAATAGTATGAATAGCACAGAGTTGTAGTTCTAGAAAACTAAGGGCGGGTGGTAGACATTTTAAGGGTAGGTCGATAACAACGTTGGTCTCTAATAATAAGAGATTTTAAAGATGGTCAAGGGGATTATTAAAGGTGGGTGGAGGGCTATGAAATCAGCTTTAGACTGGGTGGAAAATTAACTGAAAGGCTGGGTGGCCTAGCCTGGCCGCATTATTTTTTTTCCCCATAAGCTTAAAACAGAAATTGTAGAGGCCGCTATTTAACGTCATTCACGTGAACTGATGTACGTAATTTATATGCATGTTTGACTTCCCCTTTGCGAAAGCAGTGTTCGCTGCTTGTGGATAAAAAGCATATAAAAGCTATGGTGTATAATAAACCAAAATCCCTTGGTAGTTGGTCCAGACAGTGTAGTCTAGACGGTGAAAATTAATGGACTATTGTAATTATAATATCCACATGCCTAGGCAATGTTTGCGTACAACATGGTCTACTGATTCTGAAGAATATAAATGTTTAGAAATGCTTGGACACAGTATATTAAAATAATTTTATGTATTGCTTTAATTTCTATTTCTCATAAACATTTTGTTCATATTCAATATAAATAAAAGTAATAGGCATAGAATAGCAAGCAGATATTATGAACATTAATTTTACCAAAAACCGAAGGTATTCTATATGACATACTTTATGGCTGTCTACAATTGAAAAACTAACATATCTAGGCCTATATGGTGTACTGTACTCAAATAGCCAGGATTCAATATTACTGTGCTTTTTAATATTTTCAGACCATTCTGTACTATTATTACAAAATAGTCCATTAATTTTTACACTGTCTTCACTATCAAATCTTATACCCCACTGAACATTGCTTTTAGGAGGAGTAGGTCATGCATGCATATTCATGAATTAGTTAACCTAACTGACCTAAAATAGCACCCTCTATAATTTCTTCTAAACTGTATGGGAAAAAAATAATAATAAAAAATAATGCACCCTGGCTACCTCTTCCCACCATAACTACATCCCTGGTAGTTCTTTATGTGTTTAATATTTAACTCACCACTTGGATTCAAAACCATGTTTTAACCACAGACTGCAGTCAATTGATTACCAGCATTACAAAGTGTTTTGTCTGTTTTAAAAGATCTTGCAGCTTGATTTGATTGGTTTGAATTTATATTCAGTTTCACTCTGAAAATATGTAAATGCAGTACAACTACAAAATAGTAAACATAAACATACATAGTGATAGTATTTTCTGGTGTGGTTTTAGCAAGTTA